CTGTGATAAAACTGAGGAAATGGAGCAAGGTATGATGGTTCCAACGGGGAGCATATAGGATCAAATGTGTCCGCGCTAATAACCACTAGGGAGCATAGATGCGAAAGTAAAACATTGAGTTCATTAAAAATCTTCATTGGGTCTGCATTATTGCTTTCGAACAACTTGTTTACTTTTTGCACCTGAAAATTAGGCAAATAGTAAAATCGGCTAAAAACGGCTAACTTTTTTTTACAAACCGGCTAACAAATCGGCTGCCGGCTAGATCGAATTTTCTCCGGCTAGTTGCTATCAAAACCGGCTAAATCTAGCCGGAAAACGGCTAAAATGGCAACGCTGCTGAGTACACTAGCCTGCTCAGTCGGACTGAGCAGTCCACCACCAGTGTGACCGTATTGATCCAAGTGGATCAAAACTGATACATTTTTCGATGAATTTTGGAGAGATACTTCTTTTTCAATTTTGATACTTTTCCAAATACAAATGAAAAAAATCTGTAAATTTTTATGCATTACAAAACATATCGTGCACCTGTGGCAACGTACATCCAAAAGTTCATTGTCGTTCTCTGAACGGACATTTCATGTATTGTGATAGCGCTGCATTTTTTTATTTTCGCTATGTTCAATAACAAAAATTAGGGATTGGTACTCGGCAATTCGCTGCTCGGTAAGGCCCTGTTTCCACAGGAAAACACCAATGTCGTGTATATTTCCAATGGATACCGCCTTATTGCTTGATATCTATTGCAGGTAATTTGATAGTTTGACAGCCATATTTTCACTTGATGGAAAGTGTGCTGGTGGTTATATCGATGAAATATTAATATTAAATCAAAATAAGAATCTGTTACCTATTGGATTATTTATGACAATGTTTTAGGAAGTTATTCAGTAAGTTTGTTTAAGATTCAAATGTTTTTTAAAACCGAAATTGAGAGAATGATGTCTGGCGGCGTCATGCGGCAAATGCTTATACATATCTAGACATCAAAGTACCCACACACAACAGTTGGTAGGCAATAAAAATTGCAAGGTGTAACTGCAACTGAAATTGCGCAAATCGCACTCGGGAAATAATTTCAACTTGCTCGTGCAATAAATGTTAAATTGTTTTGGAAAATGGTTTTTCATAAAAATTATTGGTTTTATTCCATATTGATGCTTAGATGAAAACCGTGTTTTTGGCAATTGTGCGGCCAGATTTGGATTCAGCACCCAGAAACGATGTGTTTTACTCAGGAGGTAACAAAAAATCAAAATTTTTATAAATAATTAGAAATGAAAAAAAGAAATACTTAACTTACCTGCGAACTAGCATTTTTAACGCGAATGGAATTCAACAAGGTGGGTTTGCAACTTCAGCTTTTTATCAATAATGGTTGTATTTTAGTGCATTTAAATTTGTAGATTCTGGTAAATTCAGTGCTGCCACAACTTTAAATATTTCAGGTTTTTACTATCTCGGTGTAATTTTAGTTCAGAAAAAAAGCACTAAGAAAGGCACTAAGCACTAAATATTTTTTTTTTTTCGTCTTAATTTTCAAAAGGCGCTAAATCTAGTGCTAAAAGCACCAAGTTGGCAACTATTTACATACGGTTGTCCACAAAATAATAGGAGTGCGATATTTTGACTCGTTTTGACTATTTGTCTTTTGTATATTTTATGTTTATTATTTTTTTATAAAAGTCTAGCTGATTATACAACAAACACCATATAAGCTCAGATTTCAAACTTTGTACAAAAACTATAAAAATTTCGCAATTTTTTACCCAAATTTCAAACTTTTTTGTAGCTCATTTAATTCTAGTATAATGAAGTGAAAGGTCCAAGCTGCTAAAAAATCCTGTTGATTTTTGCGATTTTTTTTTGGTTGAAGGTTTCACGGTTTTTCCATACAAAGTATGTTCGCCAATTTTCTTTTATAAGGACACAGCCAGCAAAAAAAAATTGCCAAAAATCAACGGAATTTTTTAGCAGGTTGGACCTTTTACTGCATTATACTAGAATTATATGAGCTACAAAAAGTTTGAAATTTGGGTAAAAATTTAAAATTTTTTTATAGTTTTTGTACAAAGTTTGAAATCTGAGTTTATATGGTGTTTGTTGAATAATCAGCTGGACTTTTATAAACAAATAATAAACATAAAATATACAAAAGACAAATAGTCAAAACGGGTCAAAATATCGCACTCCTATTAATTTGTGGACAACTGTATATATGTTTACTTCATATATAAATACAAATTTGTACTTCAATGAAATGTACAATGTTTTACAAACATTAGGTATAATGTTTTAGGAACATTTACAAAAATAGGAAACTTTTCAAATCGTTTGGTTTACGATACAATACTTCAAGAATAGTTTTTAGCATATAATTAATATATCTGTGGTTATAAGCAATAACCACCTAAGTCGAAAAACCAGAATTCGAGAAAAAACTTTTTAACATTTGGGTTATAATGTTAGCCTTATGGGAAAACTAAAATATTTCCGTAAAAACTCAATTCTTTCTTTAGTCGACTTAGACGGTTATTGCTTATGACAACAGATATATCGCTAGAATATGTAAATTTATAAAAGACTTATTGTTCGACAAAATATATTTCCTCAGGCTGGTGAAAAACGTTTTGATTTTGGTCGAATGGCTCAAAAGATACATCATCTGGCGGAGTAGCAGGAGTAGAACAGGTCGGGTAGCACAATTGACTTGGATTTGGTCTAAAAAAAAGATTTCCCTGAGCGTTCCTGCTGAAGCAAAATCTTCTGTAGCTCAATTATTGTATTTAAGCGGAATTGCATGAAGTTTTCGTCGCTCAACTTGTTAATATCCGGCATCAAGCTTAAAAAAACATTCGCCGACCGTCATCTCGTCTCTCATCCTGTCCCTTCCTATTCTCCCTTGATTTTACAATTTCCATTACAGCCTCAGCAATATCGCCATCGCCCTCTTTTTCCCGTTTTCTTGCCTTAACACCGCTTTTCACTCTTTGTGACGTTTCCGAAATCGGGTCATACGAATTTTCTTCCGTAAATAACACTACCTCTTCGCTTTTAGTAAAGAAGTCCACACCGTTGTATAAAACACTGCTTTCATTTCCGGCCGAGTGCTTTAGAGGCCGTATATATTGTAGCACATATTGTAGGGAGTCATGGAGGTAGTCGGTTTTTTGGCTTTCGCGCCAGAACCACATGGCGGTGCTTTTAGGCTGCGAACAAAATTGTTACGTATATTTCACCATTTCTCTTTGCACTCACTAACTGTAAAAAAAAAATAAAATATATTAATAAAATTCGTTTTCTTCAATTAAAAAAAAAAATCGTTTGAAATAAAAATGTTCATTTATTTTCAGATATTTAGCTACTGGATCTACTTTCGCTGCACTTGCGCTGCAAAAACGAACGAAACTTGGACAACAGAAAACGCATACATATTTAACCATAGACTGAGTCGACCGCGCAAAAACATCGAGTGTACATTTGGTATGATGACACAAAAATTTCAAATTTTTTTGACACCTATTCGCTGCGAAAAGTATACGACCATCATATCTTGTGCTACAGTTTTACATACATATGTCACTATATACGCCAGAATGACGGTGTGTTATACTTCAGACAGCTATTCAATAGTGCCAACACGCGGCCTTCAAACGCACCAATGCGTTCGGATGTTGTGGCTACAGAAAATTCTTCTCCACAAATTTTAAGAGACTATCTCTCAAATTACTTTATGTCGCCACATGCTGCTCTGCCATGGCAATGGAAATATTGCATTTAATAAATGTAATAAGTGCAAGTTGTAAGCTGCTAAGACTTTCATAAAAAAAAAAAAATAAATAAACAAAAGACAAATAACTCAAACTGGCCAAAGTATTACACGCCTATTATTTTGTGGATAACGGCATGTAAGCACTCGAATTTATTTAAAAGAAAAATTAAATTATAGGCATGTTTGGTGCAAATGATTATATGAAAAAATACTGTTTGTCGTTTGGCCCCGCCAGTGATGATGGAGGCTATATCATGATATCATAATTTTTTCAGAGTATTCTGAATTGTAGAGAAATTTTAAAGAATTGGTAAAGACTTCATCGGATTTTTTGTCGAATTTTCTAAAATGAAATAAACTGTATACACTTCAATACTTTTACGAAATTTCGGAAGAAAATCGGTAAAGCAATGAAAATAATGCTGCTATGTGAAGAATTTCATGCAGAATTTTTTTTTTTCGTACAGAAATTTCTTTACGAGTTCGTGTCAACCACCTCTATAATTTTCTTTGAAGATTCGTTAAAAAATCGTTACAGAAATGAGATACTCCTAAAGAATTCGTTAAGATTTCGGGAACTTTGGTTTGCAGGGATAAATATATGTAAATACATATGTAAGTAACCCTGCAAACCAAAGTTCCCCAAATCTTAACGAAATTTTAAAGAAACTCGGAAATGTGTTTCGAATTCTGTAATGATTTCTTTACGAATTTTTAAAGAAAATCGTATGAAGGGGTTGACACGAACTGGTAAAGAAATATCTGTAGGATTTTTTAACTAAAATTCTAAAAGATTTTTTTAGGAATATTTTGTTAAATTTCTGAATGAAAATTCTAAAGGATTTCTTTAAATATATTTGGTTCAATTTCTAAAGGAAAAATCTAAAAGATGTCTCTAAGAATATTTTTCCAGCATTCTGAAGAAAAGTTAGAATAGATTTCTTAAAGAATATTTTGATAAACCTTCTGAAAGAAATTAAACACGGAAATTTTTGGAAATTAATCGCTAAAGTTTATTCGGTTTATATACTATATGAAATGTATGAGAGAGGGATTTCAATTACTATCCGGCTGTTTGCGAGGGTAGCGACCAAATAATTACAAACTGCTCGTTTGCCT